TATTTTTCGACTATAATCATCAATGAAAGTAATTATATATCTTTTATCTCCATTAGAACACAGAGTTATTGGCCCGCAAATATCGGAATAACCAAGCTCCAATGGCATCTTCGCTCTCCATAATTTTCTTTGTTGGAATTAATTACGGTGTTGTTTACTAACAACACATTTTTCACAAACTTGAGAAGGAGCTGAACTTTGAGGAGACCTATCACCATATTATTCTATTGTAGAGTCTTTAATTCACCAAAATTAAGATGACTGTGCGAAAATGCTATAACCATTCCTTCTCCTTCAATTTTGTAGAGAAACATGAGTGAGTAGTGTTGTGGAGATACAATGGAAACTTTCATTAATAAATACACTTCTTCTTCCTTCTCTACGAAATGAGATTGCTTATCATCATAATTCTTGAGATTGGCTGGGCATTCTAACTTGTAATGGCCATATTTGTGACACCAGTAGCATTCAACTTTTGCTTTATCTGCTGACTTTAATTTAGAATATGTTGAATGATTGTTGTCATGATCTCTTCGTCTTCCTCTTTCTCTTCCTAGAGTATTAGAAAATGGATTATCTTCAAAAGTTTTACAGGAGTGCCTACCATAATTGTTGCCTTGGCCATTTCCTTGTCCTTGATCTCCTCTTTTTGATGCTAAAAAATGATCATTAGTTGAAGCTTGTGACGCTTGCTCCTCCTTATCTTGTCGATGCATTTTCTGCGCATGAACCAGTAAAACACTTTATAACTCATCAAAAAAAATATCATCGATATTGTAACACTCCGAATTTTTCTTACTATTTTTCATACGGGGCTTAAACTTAATATTGATCATTTAGCAAATGAAATAGTCTATTGTAGCCTTGTCGTCACACTAAAGTCCAAAAGTGGAAGCAATAAATACAACGCACTTATTTGTATAAATGGTTAATTATACTTACGTGTACTTTTTATAATTTATCGTAATTTATTTGGATCAATATAATTAAACCTAATTAACCATTAACGTATAATAAATAAATTAACTTACCTCATGATTACATTTTCTTAAACTGAAAGGCATTATACTTACTGACGTTCCGTGTCATTAAATACCATATAAGTGATTGAGTGTTACTTTAAAAAGTTAACAAATTCATTCTTTTACAATTTACACATGTACACCATACTGTTTGAGAAATTTCCTTTTTATATCATCCTACAACTCATAATTTCATATTATTTTGGTGTCAACTAAGGTAAGAATACTTTGTGCAATTGATAAATCCTTATTTTCTTGGTATTTTTATAGAATTTGGCATGAAATATTCCAAAAACTTCGAGTCTTTTCTATGTTAAATCCTACGGGATGGACCATTTTGGTCAAATATGTAAATCTTACGGAATATAGAAATTCTTATGAAATTCCTTGAGTTATTGGATGTTGCGACCAGATTGCTCTAAATCTAAGAAATGTTCGTATGTTATGCCAGTTTCATATTTTATATCACGTGAATAAGAATGTGTACGTATTCTTACTGAATGTTTTCAAAATACTCACTCTTACTATAATTTCAGATTAGAATGGGTCATGTAGACGCATGAAAGATTGACCTAGTAATTTTTATGGGGTAATAAAGTAAAGTTTTCAGAAAATATAATTGTCAACTTTTATTTGAATAATATATTTATGTTAATGCATGTTATTTAATATTTTTAGAGATCCAGTATTCGACATTTTATGTTAAATCTTAAACTAATAGTTTGGAATGGAGTATTTCAAAAATTATATTTGAGATGAAAATTTTACTTAAATTGTTATTTTATCGTTATCGAATTATAGATCACATTTTCAAATTTCAACACTTAATAAAACTGATATTTCCGCTTAAATTAGATGAAGAAGAATTTGGTAATACCTCGAACCTAGTTTTATAAAATAATAAAATAATAAAGATGAAAAAGATTTCGGGGCATTACAGATATCATTTGATTCCCCATGGAACGGACAACATAATTGAATTTTGTTGTCATGGGGCAAAACATCTTTTCAACAATGGTCACATCTTCCATTGTATCACCGTGTATCCGCATCTTATTAGTGATTTCCATCGTCCTCAATCGAAATATATTCTCCCACCTTCATTTGTAGAAGTTCAAATTCACCACGAAGCGCTTGGAGCTGCACTGTTTGGCCCTTGCATCACCTTAATACTTTTTCTTCATGGAATCCCAAATCTGCTTGCTAGTATCTTTCTTAAGAATGGTTTCCAAAATTGAGCAATCGATGGATTGGAGCAGGTAGTCTCAAGATGTTTCAATTTCAACGCTTCTTGCTCTGTCTTTTGCTCATATGTAAGCACAACACCTGGCATTGGTTTTTAGCCATATATACATGTCTCAATGCCTGCTTGGGAGTTACATTGATTGGTAATTCAATGTCATATTGACTTTTCGACATCAGTTAGAAAGTTTCTGAAGTGGCCCTCTTTTGATGCTTACCACATTAAGAGCAAAAAGGTAAATGCCTCGATACTTGGTCTTGCAAGATGTAAACATTTTTCTTATGTAATACATTCTAATTAGCATAAACTTGTGCCTTCGAACTATTAATTGTTTAGGCAAGAAATCATATCCTGCTCATCCACAATAAATAAATTGAAGACCAGTTTACCCCTCCCCCCCCCCCCCCCCCCAAAAAAAAAAAAAAAAACAAAGGAGTTTCTCGTATAATATCCCATATGGGTGGTTAACAAATTGCAGTGCCACCACAATTTGGGAAGCGATGGTCCTCCTCGACTGCCGTAAAGTTCTGATCTTTTTTTTTTGCGTTTTTAAGCATTTTTTTCCTTTGTTTCTTTCCGCAGCTTTGACAGCAATAATAGCACACCCTTGGCTTGGCACGAAGCATCAATAATAAACGCAATGCAATCCAAATGAACAAACTACTCCTTTTACCAAGTAGGTGTAGGTCTTCTCTTAATAAAATTGGAAAATTGCACTATTAATCCCAATAGCAAATTGGTCTGATTCCACATTTTTACTTACACAATCATGTTCAAACCGGAACAGTTTTCAAAAGTGAGATGTGGACTCGCACAAAGCAAAGCTTCCTCATTTTATAAAAATTTAACGGTGATATGACAAGAAAATGTTAGAATTAAGTGATCAAAAATAAAGTTCATGTTTGGTTCAACTAGAAAAAATTATTTAAATTTAAGTTAATAATTAATATTTCATGGATCTTACAATTTTTTAACCATATATTTCATCATTTTTTGTTAAAATTTACTAAAAATCTGAGTTATATCTAAACTAAATGGAAGCAAAATATGGTAACGTGACCTAAGAGAAAGTTTCAACTCATGTGATCCTCGTCTTTTGTAATTCTCATTGAAATAGCGTGTGCATTCTATGAATATCCTTGTTCTTTGTCCTTATTTCTAGACCATTCTTTCTTATTAAATGTAGTTTTGATTTTATTAATAAAAGATAAGAATAATAGCTGCATACGATTAGGATAATTGCGACAAAGCTGTCGAGCTCATGTTTGATTATTCATTCAAGGGATAGGGTATTTGTCGGGCGCAAAGTCTAAATCTTAATCACCCATACAAATAAAATGCTACCACCTAATGAAAAGGTCATAATTAAATAAAGGGAAATTTTCACCGTTGGTCACAACCTATTCTCTTTGTAGAAATTCATCCTTAACTTTTTGGACAGAGATCATCCAGAGTTTGATGAATTTACCAGATAATCCACGTGAAAATATGTCACACTTCAAGTGTAGAAAATTAGTCCCAGTTCAAAAGCAAAACTGATACTCACAAAGTTGGACATATGACTCGATGTTTTAATAAACGTTCAAACAATTTTTATCATAGAAAATTGATTGTGCTAATGTAATGAAAGAATGTGAATAAACTCGCTCTTTTCAAAACCAAAAATTGATTTCTTACAATAGCTTCTACGAGTTCAAAACTTGATCTTTTACGTTATTAAGTCAGTGAATTACATGATAATCCTATTAATTCAAAACATTTAATAAGAGTATAATTATCCTAATTGAGGTAATTTGAAGAAGATTAGAAAGAAAGTGGCAAGGTGTGATGCCAAGGAGGTCATAAGGAATCTGTCGCTTTTGAAAGTTTGGACACTGTGTACGCAACAATGACAACTTTGGACTCTTACAGCCCACAAACAGCTATTCGTATCTTGAAAATGCCATAAATTAATCGCAGAATTTATTAAGGTCAAGTTGGCACGTAAGATAATTTAAGTATCGCATTCGACTTTAATAATAATAATAAAAGTTAAAAATATTGATGGAAAAAAGAGGTAACTACTTAAATGGATGGGAATTCAATTTATCCAAACAGTAGAACCCTTTATAGTTTAAAATCTTTATTTTACTGATCACAATCACGTAATAATATTAGCCTCTAACATACAAAGGCTAAAAAGGGGTTTTCATTGTCCACAGTTAGCTATATCACAAGAAATCCACCGCTTCTATCCTCACCTCCACATTTCCAAGCGAAGAATATCCATTTTGATCACTCAATAATCGAACGAATATAATTTTAACCTTTTCTTTTCTAATATTTTTCAATAGTATACATCTCCGACTTTCGATTTTCAAGGTCAGATTCAATTTTTATCAAACGTCCGATAAATCCAAATATGCGAAAAAAAAAAAAAAAAAAGTCTCCGTACACTCCGCCCCTTCCAACCGTCCATGTTTTATAAAATCAAATATTATGATGTGTGAAAGGACAAAATGAACGACACCAGCCAGCAACCCTCAATTATTCATTAGTCAACCTGTTTTTTTAACATAAGCCGTGGCAGCAGCACAACATATGCTCCCTAATCAATCCAATATTTTTTTCTTCGACCCTAACAATCAACAGAAGTGGAAAGCAATCGTGTTATCAATTGAATCTGCCATGTTGCATCTGGCCTAACCTTATTTCCCACACCAAATGGAAAAACAAGCAAACTATAAACTGTTCCATAGAGAAAAGCAGATGAATGAATAAATTCACTTTTAATTATTTTCAGGGGATAGAACAATACAATAGAATCCAAATAAGACAAAAATAGAAAATAGAAAATGAGTAAACATAACAAAAAATGGAACTAATATTGAAAATAGTGACTGGAAGAATTTACCGGCCGCGGTGAATTACAGGGAGACAATTCACGTCGACTGTCCATATAAATCGTAGGGGGCCCACAAGGAATCGAGAGGGCACGGCTGTTTGGAGTCTAGCCGAAGCCACGGCTTGCCGCTGCCGCTCCAGTGGAGAAGGCTCACCGGGCCGGGGTGGAGGTCACGGCAGCTTCCTCTCACATTATCTCCTCCAAGACCGTGTTGATTCCACCTGTGCTTGATCGGCGACACTTGTCCGGCGAAAACCAAAAGAAACGGCGGAAGCGAGCCGAGCTCGTAAATCCGACTTGGGCTCGTCTTTTGTATATCCATCCACCGCTCGATATGGCGGGTGTATCCAAACCGCCTCCATTTACTCAGATCTATTACCATTACGCCAGTATTGAAATAGCAAGGATTTCTGCCTGAAAACACGCCTGAGAATTTATGGTCCGACCAGAAATACTCGGTGAAGTATTTGGTGAAGTTTGCGTGACAATATTCCGGCGCGCCTATCGTCTTCTTCCCCAAGCTTGTACTCCAAAGCTTCGAAATATCATCGACTAGCACGAGATCCGAATCCAAGTAAATCACCCGTCTCACGCATGGTTCCAGAAGATCCGCCAAGTAATTTCTAGCATAATTTAGCGGCTGTTCAAGAGCTTGCCTCACGGAAGTTGAAATCAGGCTCCGGACTCGTTCTGGATCAAAGAAGTAAACTTTAAACTTCAACTCCGGGAAAGTGGATCGAACTAGGTTTTCGAGGCCATTTTCTGATACAAGGAAATGGAAGAAAACATTATCTGGACACTTTGAATGCTGAAGAATCGAATGAACAGCAGCAATTGAACCGCGTAAATATTCAACATCAAGAGTAATAGCTACATGCACCAAAGAGGGATCGCACACGCCAGATTTTCCCAATGTTGATGAGCTGCATTCGTAGGCATTGCGAAAAACAGGGGCTTTTCTGAAGGCAATTTTGTCCATTGAATTTGTACATGCAGGACATCGAAGATAATGATCCATATAAGAGGACCTAATGGCTTCTGCAGGAGGGAAGGATTGAAGAGAAGGGGAAAGTACAATCATCACCATTGCTGCAGAAAAAACCCCAGAAAATCTCATAATCCACAACATTTTTCTTCCTCTATATAAAAATCTCCAATTCTTGTCTTGCTTTTTTCTCCACGATTTGAAATCGAAACTATTTGAGGAAATCGAAGAGAATAGGAAGGGTACTGTTCCCTTCAGCTCTGCCAGGGTGAAGCAATTCACAATACAAAAACCCCAATCCCAATGGCAATTGTGCTTTGCTTTCTGTAAATTTCTCCTCTCTCTAATGGGATGCCGTGACTTCGAAGCTAATAGGTTCCATCAGAGAGAGTGAAAAAGAATCGATCCATATACATAACGAAAATTGAACATGTAACTACGTGAGTTGCAGTCCTCACTCTCTCCCTCGCTCTCTCTTCTCCCCTCTCTCTATACACGCATATGTATTCGTGTTTCTTCTTTGGAGAAGAATAAGATGAAGAGAGAAATGGGGGAAGGGGTTTTTTACTTTCCGGCTTTTGTTTGTTGAGCTCTCCACCATGGAATTTCATGATTTGTAATTTTTATTATATTTAATGATTAGATTAGAGTAATCAAAAACGTGATCTGGTATGTTATTAACTTTGTATGAGGGAGCACTGTAGAGGCAGCTGTCCCAATGACATTTGCCTCCCAGACAACAAACGCATCCTCACTGTACACATGCACACTTTATTCACATCGAATATTTTTACAAGAATTGTTTCTCATAAGTAATTACTTACTCAAGAAACGTATAAATTTTTTGGGTTTCTTTCTATTTTTAAATTTTCGCTCTTGAGACCGAATGTTCCCCATTTTTTACCGTTATAAATACTCTGATATCTTACAGCGATATACATCTCCGCATATTTCACTAAAAAATGACATAAATTAGATTTCATCAAATGTTTAGCATGCACGTATTAATTGTTAAGATAGGGATTACATAATTACACTTTCGGAAAGGATGTTGCGTTGGTAATATGTTCGATTCGATTAATGGTAGTAAATTATTTAAGATTTAAGAAACAATTTTGTCAAAATAAAATATTGTTATTGTTATTATTGAATTTTGTCACGCATTTAAAGTGTGCCGGTACTAGTACTTGAAATAACCTAGATTTGTGGTTGTCATATAAAAGAGGGGAAAAAATCTAGTCTGAAAGCACCAACATAATTAAATTTTCAGTCTTGACCATTGACCTCACATAGACTCACTGATGGGAATCTAACAGCAAAAGGCGCTGTACGGTACATCTGCGCAACGCAAATGATTGTCTGCCATGGATGAGCTGTGTGGCTATGGTACATATGGCAAAAGCACTGTAAAATTATTTCTTTGGTCCGTACATAATTCTGTACTATTGCCTTTTTTTTTTTTTTTACACGCTTCATTCACTTGTTTACAGGGATGTCAATCAAGCCGGATCGACCCTTAGACCCAGAAGCTCGATTCGATCCCATTGACAAGTTTTAATCCTAGCTCGGCTCGTGTCCACAATCCGGGCTTGGTTCTGCCCATTGGCTCAAGGGGCTCATGGATCAAAATCGAGCTGTCCATGAGCCCATGACTCTGCTCGCGTTTTTCTAAAAGGAATTAATAAATTTAAAGTCTTGACTTACAATTATCAAACGAGCCAATAACATATCGAGTAAAATATTGTAATAAATAACGTAAATACATGATACCTTGTGCTAAATTAAGTTTATAGATTAAATTGCGCGATTATAAGATGGATGGTACATGGAAGATACATCTTTCATCCCAAATAAGAAATCAAGATCTATTTGGTATGAACCCCTAATCCTTGTTGGGAGCACCATTGATGTTGATCTATGCCAACTTTGAAGTTGACAAAGAATCCATATGTTAGATAATGGTGTGAAGCACATGCATTGTCAAGGTTTGGATATAAAAGTGGATGTAAAGGACATGGAGATTCTTCCATTGCTTGGTATGGTGGAAAATAAAAGAAAATTGAAAAAAGATAATGGGGCTTCTACTTTCATTCTTTTCTTTTCTTTTTCCTTTGCCATCATCAAGAATCGCTTCCCAGTCTTGCCTTCCCTTCCTGTCTAACAAGAAGAAGGAAAATTGCATTTCTTTATGAAAAATATGGAATAATGAATTTTTATATTTATTTTCTATCCCTCTTAATGAACATAGACGTTCGCTTGATATGTTTAATTAGCGTGCTAGATTTGATTGAATTGAATTGAACGTTGTTAAGAAAAACATTCCCATAAAATATTGTCCATTAAAATGCTCGTCGCATAAATTTAAATATATGTTCAAATGTCTTTTAAAGTAATAAAATAGAGGCATGTATCTTATAGAGCAAGAGAAGTTTTTTTTTTGGGTTGGGGGGGGGGGGGGTTTAACCCTTAAATAGTCAAGTTGTGTATTAAATTAAAAACTATTTGTAGACGTGGGAAAATATTTATAATGGAATACAGAATATGTAATTATAAGACAAATAAATAAAAAGTGAGTCACCACTTCCTTAGAGAAGAAAACTTTGTGCTGCGCTTTACTTGGATTCGAAGAGGACGGGGAAAGTCATTCCATAACCTTCTTTCATTAAAAAAATAAATGTGATGTCGATTTTATTAGTTACATAACTACGTAAGTAAATAGTACTAAATTTAGGAGGAGACTTGGTATAACATCCAAACACAGACCCAAAAAAAAAGAAGCAGAATTTACCTGTGCGAAGATGGGGAGAACAAGAAAATCGAAGACGTACAAAATTACATCTAGCGTGATTTCATCCCAATTCAAGATTTCACACATCTCGTGATGTATCTATAAAAGTCTTCGTCTCAATTGAATTTATTGATCAAACAAGTGTCCAAATTGATCAAATACAACTGAAAATTCCACATTTCATTGATCTCCCCATGTACATAGCCAAAAACATTACTTAAAAAAAAAAAAAAAGGTTGAAACCCCACCGCCCTGTCCCTGGAGCATCGTTAGAGAGGTTAATCGCGGAATATACCCAAACAGGTCAGGGAACAAGAACTGTTTGTACACTGGTGCCCACAAAAAGTCTCAATCCATATTTCAGGAATTGAACCTTCACACTGTGGCTGCCAGCAAGGCTGAATATACCTCACCCTTGTCCTTTGCACCACTAGGATATGCCCCCAAGGGCAGCCAAAAAAAAAAAATCGCCGCCTCCTCTCTCTCTCTCTCAACCCTTCCCCTGCAACACAACTCCAGCGTTGGAGGCACAGCCGTCCTTTAAATCGGTGGAGTTGAGGAGCGATGACTCCCCCTCCCACTCTCTGTCTCTCTACATTTCTTCCCACAAGCAACACAAATTTAAATCAAGGCGGTTAGCAGTGCTACAACATTTGCGACCGACACGTGCAGAGTTCAACTTTTACAGCAGCTTCATCCCAAGTTGTGCCGACTCTCCGTGACGTGACGGTAGATCGCCTGCAGCCACACGGCAACACGATATGTGGCCTCATCTATTTCGATAGTCCATCCTCCAATGATCTCTAGTGCGTCACAGCGCTACAGGGGCCCATGTTGCTTGCATCGCAGCGATCTATCGCCACCGTTGATGGCTATAGCTACGGATCGGTTGGGACGGTGGTTGTGATCGTAGTGACAGTGGCAGCGTAGTGGATTTGTGGTTGCAGTGTGGTGGATTTGTGGAGTTCTATAGTTGGTTTGCCGTGATGGTGTGATGGTGTTGGTGATGGTTGTGGTGCTGCGACGGTGACAATGGTGTCGGTGTGGTTGTGGCAGTGGTGGTGATAATGTTGGAATTGATTTTTTGGTTGTATTTGGGTATAGTTGTGGTGATTTTTGGTTCTTAATAGTGTGGCGGTGATAGATTTCATGTTTTGAGGGTGGCGGTGGCGGAAGATGACAATGGTCGTGGTAGTGGGTACGGTGGTGACGATGAGATGTTGGTGGTTGTGGTCTATCGAGGTAGATCTGTTGATTTTTTTTGAGACAGTGGTGTTGCCATAGGGTGATGATGGTGTTGGTTCTGGCAGTGACGGTGGTGTTTGTGATGTTAGAGCCAGTTGTTGTTTGGTGGTAGTCACAGATTAATTGGTTAATTGTGACGATAAAATTAGTTAATCTGTGACCAATAAAAAAGATAATTTGTGACAAAAAATAATATGACCTAAAAAATTAATAATTTGCAGCTGTTTAATAAGTTGTGATATATACTATTTGTGATCTCTAACGTATGAATAAATCGTGATGTATGATCGATGAACAAATTGTAACTACAAAAGTTTTAAATTGTGATCGTAAAATAATTTGTGACATTAAAAAATTCTAATTTATGATTGAAAAATAATATATTATTAATTAAATTGTGAATATGTGACTAAATTGTATAAATCTGTAACCATAATATAATTAATAAATAAAATATATAATTAATTAATTAAATTATAAATAAATTTTAATGAATATCTAATTTTTAAAATTTGAAACCTGTATTTTGACTTTTGAAATAAGTAATAGTTGTCCTCTTAGTTATGAAGTTTCCCTTAACTTTATTGGCGAAATTTCCTCTTTGTTAAACTCCAGTTGTATGAAATGCGTGTTCTGTTTTACACCTAGCGATCCACAAAGGTTAGTTAGATAAGCCCACTACAACTCATTAGGGACTCGGTTGTTGGACCAATTTAGTTCAAAGATAATGGATACGACCCAATAAGTGAAATTTGGGTTCCCGGGTGG